GTTGGCAGACATGCCGCTGTGCCACCGGGGGGCATATAATTCAGAGTTAACATACAATTAAATATTTTAATATAATTAAAAGACAGGTGTAGTCATATAAAACAATTACTCACCATGCCCTCATTTATGTGCCGTAATCATGATATTTGGTAATTTAATAATGCTTAAAATACATAATATAGATGAATGTTTTTCATTTTATTTACTTACGTTTTACTTTTAATTGTAAAATATGAAAGTTTAAATCTTAGACTTAAGTCTACGTGCTCCATCTGTTAGATAAATAAGAAAAATCCCCTTCCCGTAAAATTGATACACTCAAGGTTAGGTTTACATAAAGATAGCCTAAAAAATGAACCGAACAAGATGTAGAGAAGGTAAACTGAACAAAAGTAAAAACTGGTAAAGGTAGCAGTGTTATCCTGTTATGTAAAACTAATTCACTTGTTAAAAAGGCTGAACATCGTGGATTAGTTGCCTTCCTTCTAGCCTATCAGCTCAGAGTTAGGGACGATTATGTACAAATGACCCTTTGCGCGAAATTTTGAAACAAACAAACTTTTTCTTCTCTCTCTCTTTTACTTGGCGTGACTTGTGGTTAGAGCTCTCTACTCGCACTTTGTGGGCCGAACGCGCTCATCCTTTTAGCCATTGGGGTATTATAATGTGGTGGTCAATCCCTCATTTCATTGTTAAAGAATATCCTAAGAGTTGACGGTGGGTAGTTTTGACTACTTTCCTTCTTCTTCTATGATTGGGTAGATTCTATTTCATCGTTTGATAAAAATAATGCAAATTCAAGTCTACAGGTTCAATGAGCGATAGGTCCAACTCATAAATAAAACTAGAGAGTTACTTAATTGTTAAATTTCATGTGTATCAACAGCACAAACTCAAAAAATGTACAACAATGAACTAATTAATCATTCACTCTGGGTTGTTATATAGTATACGTTTTTCTCCAAATTTTTAGAAAATTCAAGACTTCACTTCAAATTTAGACACTCAGGAAATTTCTGTGCGTCACATATTATGATTATACCATGCCAAAACTCTTTCTAGCAAACAAGAAAAAATGTCTAAATTAAAATATGAAAAACATAGTCTACAAAAGTAACATCTGAAAACATTTTAGTTCACAGGTAATTCAGCTCCCGCAGATAATTGAAAGTTCGTGGATTTGGTTGGGAAGAATATGCAGAGAAATCTGGCAATTTGATTTGAAATAAAAAAAAATTGAAAGTTAAAATGAGCTAACAAAAGCTAAAACTGCGAAAATGATACTCGCACTAAGAAAGCATTGATCATATATACAAGTGACCCGGAGAGAAACTAAAAAAAAACCTGACCATCTTCTGCTGTGGATATTAACCCCTAAAGCCAAGTTTCACAAGTACGTGATGACATCCTGTTCTTAAATTAGGTTAAAGAACCAAAAGATTAAAAACTTTGTATGTTACTAAGCATGGGCGTCCGCAAGATACATTACAGAGTGAAGCAAGATAACAAAATGATATCAAAGCTATAATTAGGGAAACGCAAAATTGATAATCTAGGGTGCAAGTGCCCCTTGCGGACGCCCATGCTACTAAATTCACTATTTATTGTAATTTAAAGGTGATAAATTACATTTAAGAAGTAGAACACAAGAAGATCCAAATGTGAAAAAAGTTAACAATTACAGGCGTATAGAGAACTGTTAAAAAGTCATTTATTACTGAGTGATTGAGAGATTTAACATAAGATCAGCATCTTCGTGAGGCCTCTTGTATACATTACCAATAATTTTAACTATTTTCATATACAATGAGTTGGTCTTATTCACGTGCAAAGTTTTTATATACAAATTCTATATGATATTGTTTACAGAAAGGTAAAACTGATATGTTTTTAATTCTGAAACTAGAAGCAGAATAATAATATAATTTAATTATTATGTGACCAACATAATATTTCAATAATTAAAATACTGTCATCTTACAGTTATCCGCTAAACTCTTTAAATTGATAAGAGGTATTGATAAATATTAAATACGCATATTTATTGACATATTTACGTATTTTATATAAAAGTTTATGAAAGTAAAGAATGTAATAATATGCCAACCACATTATATCTCCCGTAACCAGTGTCAACGAGGTCTTTCGCCCAATACTAAGGTTCATCAAGGCCGGCTGAGATACAACAGACATAGTAATGGTCGAGGAGCTATTTACATCATCAGTCATTTGAACTAGGTGGGAACTAGATTACGTTAGTAGACTGTAACTTTTTATCTAATTAACATAGACGCAATTTTGTTTCCTGTGCCAAAAAATTTCATGAAACTTTGCAAAACATACTGAAAGTCCAAAATATGTTAGTATTTCAGTTTAAAAGAAAAGGCCTGTAGATTATTTGGACAATAAAGTAAAAAAAAGAACAAAAAATAATGCACCTTAAAAAAGGAGCTCATCAGGAGTGGAATTCCTCATTTTTCAGCTGTTTCATTTATTTACGCGACCACCAAAAGAAATACTTGCGCAAGACAAAATAATACTATTGAATATTTTCAATGAAAACAGATTTCCAATGAAATATACACGTCCACATTATTCATTGAGGATATACCCTTCAAATGATGTGAAAATTGAAAGTACTGATATGGAATGAGCTCATGCTGACATCTTTCGTAAGTGATTTAGGATATTCGGGATGCTATACATATTACTACAGTATCCCTGCGGGCAGAAGAGACGTCAACTACTACAGCGAACAAAAAATGAAGCAGATAGAACAAAATAATGCTAACAATTTTTTGGACCACACGTTGCCATCATTACAGTACCAGATATAAACACCCGGAAAAAATCTCTATACCACTAAAGAAGGTAGAAAACATAGGATATGTCTGCATATCGCGCTGGTACCTTTCTCATCAAAACAGCTGTTGAGTTCGGGGTATGGCTGGAAGCTTGTAAGCCTCTGTCTCATGGAAAACATTGAATGCTTCATTTTTTGGAATGTAATGTATTTTGGTTCTACAATACTTAACAATTTCATTATAATGATACCTTTCCTCTCAAAGGGTTGTGTTATATTTATTAAGCCACAAATTTATTATGGTGGCATTGCATTGTTGAATGGACAGAGATTCACTGTGAATAAAGAATTTAGGTGGCAAACACGTTAACATGCCACTGTATTATCATATTTAAATTGTTATTATAAAGTGCCATCAACGTCATGTTTAATTTCAGAGATGTGAGCTTAATTCTCTTCAATAATAAATGAGTCATAGTTAACTAGAGTTCAGAGTTATTGCTGTTAATTTAGTAACTGAGTTTACAGTTAAGTGTTTTAACTTTCATCAGTGAGACAAGCTTACTTTTGAAATATCTTCACATTTCATAGCCCATGAATGTCTACCAGTAGTATAGAATTCTGACAATTTTTACACACATGCTACCTGTAATTGATATCTAAGCAAAAGTGAAGCTAAAACAAATTGTTGAGTTAAGCCTATGAATGTTATATGCCGAAGTTAATAAGATTTATACTTTGAATTTTCAAAGAAACCATCAAATTCGTTTACTTTTCAATCAACAACAACAACAACAACAACAAAAAAAAAACAATTCAAACATTATTCCTAATATTTGGTACCTGATAAGGAATGGAAATTAAAATAACCAAAGATCATTATCTAAAAAAATATATATGACAATTTAGCTTATTTTGTAGATCATGTGAGAGTCGTGAAAGGAAAATTTAAGACGCGATGAAAAATTTACGAACACTATCATAAACGTGACAAAAAAAAAAATTACTAACATTTTATGGAAAAACTAGATCATAAACTTCAAAAACAAAACAAAAAGATATATAGGACAGTAAAGAATATTGTGGATACGAAGACATTGTGTAACAAAATATACAATTTTCTTTTTTTTTCTTTAAAAAAAAACTAGTCTCGCATTTCATACACACACACACACACACATATATTACAGCATTGGCACTTTGTTTACAAGAGCGCAGAAGTGAAACGTGTCCCGGATATTCTGGTATAGATATTTCTAAACTGTATCCAAAGCGGTCCGATAAGGGACTCCAAAATTCAGGCATACTAAGCCCCAAGTTAGAACTGCTGACCAGATGGTAACCCTTTAGACAAATCCTACTATAAATTAGTTCCTAGCGATTCTTTATAGCCCTTTATGTCCTCCGGTGGGACAGTGGCCAGTCTACGGACTTACAACGCTAAAATCCGGAGTTTGATTTTCCGCGGTTGACAAAGCAGATGGCCTAGTGTGGCTTTGCTCTAAAACAAACAAATAAACAGTCCTTTACATTTCAATTTAATAATTACCATCATTTGCACCAGAATTTCGTACAAAGCTTACTTTGATATCTGTGCATTTTGCCGTCTTTAATTTTGAACTGACGTATTAGAGAAAAGGACTAGTCAACATCATTTATCGCCAACTCTTGGGCTACTTTTGTCTGATCGTCACTCATAAAGCGCACCGACAGCCCCAAAGTGCTGAGTACGCATTTGCAGCAAAGCCACAAACCAGGAACCCTCGGATTCACAGTCAAACCACGCTGACTATTAGACTAAGACCGACCAATTTATTTTAAATGTTTTATATTTGCATTACAATAAATAATTGCGTCTATGCGTTGTATTAATTGTTGTATTGTCAGTTATTGACACAAAATAAAATAGTTTAAGTTAAAAAACATAAATGGCATAACAACAGCAACTAAAGTAAATCTAGCCATAAACATTGAATTTAACGTGTTTTCAGTCTCTGGGCAAAATATCTTGCGAGTACTACAAAATTAAATTTAGGAAATATTATTACGACTAAATCTATTAGTCTGTGTGATTTAATAACATTTTAAAGCTATAAAAATTAAACGCCATCTCTAAAAATATCTTTCACATAGCCAACGCAGTCGTGGTGAAATGTTCGCAACTGTATTTTAATGACGTCATAAGAAATTATAAAAGACATGCGTGAGAGAGTTCATGATGGTGGAGGGTAGGCTGTTTATAAGGGAAAGTAGGGTTAAGACTATAGTTGTTTTAGAGTAGGCTAAATTTTGAATTAATATTTCATATATTTTAGAATGAAAAGGTATCTTGTTAATTATTGATACTTCTAACTAAATTACCTATATCGTAAACTCAAGTAGTAATAAGCAAACTATTTGAAAATTAGGCCTAACTGTCACTGTAGATAATAATAAAGCATTTGTAATTGTATATAGAAGGGCTAAGTTAGGCCTAAAATTAAAAATAATTTAAAAATGGGAATTTCGTTCCAACTTTTAGATAAAAAAATATATATATCTAACGTTAGTAAGTTTTAAGAGGAAAGTCAGGAGTTTTTGTTACAACTAGTACAGTTGTATTTGCAACTTGTACTTAAATTTTTAGTACCAATAGAATTTAGAAATACACGAGGTAAGCTTAGCCTACTTTTTGTAGTGCGTAAAACTGAATGAGGGTACTTATTTTTTTCTTTTTAATCCCAAACTACTCTAAACCACTCTAAATAGCAACAACAACAAATTCACTGCATACAACCTGAAAAACCTGCAGGCGTCTGTGAATTATCCTTCATGTATACATACTTCAAAATATACGTGTTTTTGTGTGTATGATATTAATAACTATATGTAGCATTTTATGTAAACTTCATGCTCATTTTTATATTATTTTCTTATATTATCTGTCTCCCTCTATACTGGGATGACCTTCTTCAGTATTTCAGGCTAGAGATATTTGTTGATTTCCTTAACTTACATCCTACTATTAAATTTACTGTTTTACACATTGGGTATTCTTTTGGGGCCTTACCATTTCCTGTTACCATGGTCTCTGTTGAAAGTAGCAAAGCTGTTACTAAAATATACCAAAAACTATGCGATAAACCATTGATTTTACATTTCAACTTGTACCATCCACCTAACACCTATTGTGGTATAATTATTGGACAACTTAAAAGAATTGAAAGAATCTGCAACACAAACAATGGTAAAGCAACTGTTAGGTTGGACTTAAAAATCTTCATTATAATGGTTACCTTGATAACTATGTTTCAGAAATTATTAAAAGATTTACTGCAACTAGAGTTGGACAAAAGCAGTTCAGTAAACCTTCACAGACTGAAAATGTCATCTGGACTCTATCCTTTGTTGATGAACTCCTTGGTAAGCGTTTACACAAAGCTATTAAAAAAATCTGGGTTAAATATCCATATTGTACAAATCCTGAGGATTATGCTAAAAAATTACTTGTTTATTTGGCTTTCAATAAAAAAAATGAAAAAATTGTCTTGTCAGAAACAGTGGACTGGATGACTCTTGTACTGTTAAAAATGTAATATACAAAATGACAGGTACCCAGTTTGATGATAAATATATTGGTGAAATCGGTTGTCCAGTACATGAATGTTTTAAGGAACACACCTGTGCTACCATAAATCTTGTTTGTAAAGAGGCAACTGCCAAACACTTTCAAATTTAACATGGTATAGTAGATAAAACATCATTTAACATTAGCAAAATGTAATAGTTTCCTTGATCGTAAATATTGTGTACATCTTTTTCAGACTTTTTATTCCAAAAAAATTCACTATTTTTTATGTGTTTATAAGAGGTGTTTGTGTTTATGATAGTTTTGGGGCTTTAAGAGTTTTATCTGTAACTACGCTCAAGTGCTTTGTAATCTACCAAGGGAAATGAATAATTGTAACTTATTATATTTATTAAGCAAATGAGTTCTATTAAAAATTTGAATAACATCAAATTATTTTACAAAGTAAAACTTTTGATAATAATCACCTCATCTTATAAAGTTTGAAAACAATTAGGAAATGAATAAGAATAAAACTACAAAGTCTATTCAGATAATATAGTATTTTTGTGATAAGTTGGCAAACAATGATTTTTAAGCATAATGAAGTAGTATGTTCCTCAAAAGTAAATCACTTCATAATGCTTATAAATTGTTTTGAACTTTATTATTATAATAGCAAACTATTTAAGTGCTTCCTTGCTCAAGTATAGTATTATTGTGTTAACAAGCAAAAATGTTAGATGCAGTAATGTTATCGTACTATAGTTAATTTTTAAAAGTCACTGTAATCAAATTTTCAGAATTTTTTTACATAAAAGAAGAGACTTTCACTGTATTAATATTGTATTTTGGATTGATCAATGTTGAGCTCATGATCTTGAACTTACCCAAGTGTGTAAAACAAAGTTAGAATAACATTAATATATTCTGTAAATGATTAGCTTAGGTTATAATTCAACAATTTCTAAGCTTATATATTTATTTCTATTAATGTGATTTATATGAAAATAAGTGAATAACAAACATTTTAAAATTAAAATTCAATAGTTATTAATTATAATATGTCAAGAAGAAATTATAGCATTAGTAAACAGGATGACTGTTTTCAAAATGTTTTTAAAAACTAATTACTTATACAGTCATACAACTTATATTTTTACTTATCTTAAACACCAACAATACAAAAACTTTTCAAAAGAGAATTTTAACTTCTAAACAATGAAAAGTCTATTATGTAACAAGTCTATGTTATAAGAGCTGCAGGTCTCTAAACAATACTTACTTTGATGAAAACAAATATAAGGTATACACACATTATTATTGTCTGGGCATGAAAGTTTACCCTGATAACACTTGATGTTCATATTCTTGTATTAGCTTAGAAATAATCAGTTATTGGCTGAGGCCTTAACTAGATTGCTGTAGACTCCAGTTGTGATGATTTGAGAAAACCTCAAAAAAATATTTTATGGTAATTAATAATCCAAACAAATATAACACTGACATCTGAAAGGATGCCTGACTTTTATTAATTTTTGGAAAAAAAATAAGGAGGTTGGCACTTGTAACCATAGATCTGCACTTACTTATACAACATTATGAAGTATAGTTATTAATTTATGAAAACAAGATAGGTGGAAGAAATTTGGCTCCCTAGACCTCCCCACCACCTATATCCATGCCTGCTTATACAACATAAAAAAATTTGATTATTAATTTGTGGAAAAACATAGATGGGGACTGAACCCTGTTGATCTGTGCCTGCTTATACAACATTAATGCAGTTACACAGTTATGAATTAGAAACATAACACAATATGAAGGAACAGTACATTTGCACTTTATTTAACACTTAAGTATCCATAGAGTTAGTGGTTTGTATTGCCAGCCAGCTGCCTTTCCTCTAGTCAGTACTTCAAAGTTTATGTAGCTTTGCAATAACAAAAGTTATAATAACTATTTCCATTTATTACTTTTTTAAGTTATTCCAAGTATCGTGTG